ACACAGAGAGAGAGAGAGAGAGAGAGAGAGAGAGAGAGAGAGAGAGAGTGTTACATACTCCAATGAGTATGGGCAGAACCAGGATCAACCAATGTAGGATGAGCATGTATGCAACGGAAGTCTGATGAACGGACTGACTCACATAGACAGACTCACATAGACTGGCTCACATAGCATCACTCCACTCACATACAATCGTGAGGTGGTGGGGTTTGAGCCATACATAGAAGATGCTCAGCCCCGTACACGCATACACAGATGAATGGGGGAGGAGAGACGAAGAGGTGGGGGGGAAGGTAGACAACACCGAAAGTCACCGAAATAGAATCTGATAGGTCACCGATATGGTAGTCCAAAATGTCATCCAACAAGATCAAAATGTSGAGGACCATAGGTCACCAATGTCGGGGATACAGAGTCCAAATGTAATCGGTGTCTGAACTGCGATGTCGCCAAGTATCAACCCCAACGATCTCCAAGTCTCCAATCCGGTAAGTACCATAGTCTCATACCACCGAAGTCCAACACCGATCTCTGTCCAACTAGTATAAGTCTCCAATCTGAAGAAGAAGAAGAAGAAGAAGAAGAAGAAGGAGCCGAGGAGGAGAGAAAGAGAGAGGGGACTGGCGATGGGATGGAGGAGAGAAGCCTCCAACTCCCAATACCTCAGGCGGCTATTGCTGCCGGTAACCCAGTCGCCGCTGCTGCTGCTCCGCTCGCTGCTGCTGCGCTAATCTGCGCTGCGTTGTTCCTTGCTGCTCCTGCGCTAATCTTAGCGCCAGCGCTGTATCGCGCTGTACCATACCGTACCGGTAGAATGCCGGTAGGTCGATCGTGGACTGAGGCTGGACCGGTTCTATATACCGTTGGGCAGAGGCCGACCTCAATGATGCGAGGCCTGGCCGTGCCCTGAACCGTCCAGATGGACGGTTCAGCCCCAACCGGCGGGCGGCAGCCTCAAGAGCGCCGCCAGGCCCAAACGGTAATGTCGTTTGGGCCTACCCGTCGGGTCTGGTCCAAGGTGAGGCCTTTATGGCCTGTAGTACCCCAAGGTCGGGCCATTAGGCCCTGATGTGTCCCTCTAGCCCTAAGTCGGGTCCGGTAGGACCCGTGTGGCGTCGAAGATGTAACACACTCCCCCTCTTAAAATACCGAGCTACTTGCGAGGGCGGAGTTGTCTGTCCGATACCGGGATGGGTCGGGTGGGACGAGCTGCGTCCTTAGCAAGGCGTCACTTCTCATAGTCGGCGAAGATAAGGGGTGCARAAGTYTGCAAATCTGTACTGGAGATCCACCGAGTGTCATCAGGCGCACATTGCTTGAATGTGACTTTGTACTGCCTTGGCTTGTTGCCATACTTGCGGTGCGTGATGACTCGGTCCACTTCCTGATATCCGTCCATGGAGGGCGGATCCTGTGATCGACGTCCGGGAAACTCGTCATTTGAAGGTGGCGTGTAGATGGCCAGCTTCGATGCGTGGAAGACCCGATGCACTGTCAGGTGCGGTGGAATGTTGATCACGAAGGAAGGGCCTGCGGGATCGTCTCCAACGGCAAAAGTGACTTCCCATGGTCCGAACCATTTCAGAAGGAGTTTGCGCGAAACGTCCTGCTCGAGCGCAAATTCCTCGAAGAGGACCCAAACAAGGTCTCCCTCGCGGAAAGGACATGGAAGTTGACGTCGGTTAGCTTGCTGGTGCATGCGGATCTGAGCCTTTTGCATATTTGTGTGGGCTTTGATCAGCAAGTCCCGGTACTTCCGGACGGAAGCGGGAGAGCAAGGGACGTCTATGTGGGGAGCCTGTGGCAAAAGGAGATCAGCGAAGATTTGTGCTTTCTCCTTACCATGATGTAACTCGAATGGTGTGACGCAGATCGCCGGGTGCACCGAAGTGTTATAGGCGAACTCGATGTCGGGAAGCCGGTCAACCCAATCTTTCTGGTCGGGACGGATGAGCGTACGCAACATCATCTGAGCGGTCTGGTGCGCTCGTTCCGTTAGACCATCCGTCTGCGGGTGCCGAGCCGAGCTCGGTTTCATTGTCGTACCGGACTCAGCCATGAGGGAAGTCCAAAAGGCTGACATAAAACGAGTATCTTGGTCGCTCACTATGTCTTCCGGAACACCTTGGTTGGTAATCCACCCGGTGTGCAAGAGTCGTGCGAGCTCAGGCGCTGCAGCATGATACTTGGAAGGAAGGAAATGAGCATACTTGCTCAAATGGTCAACGACCGTGAGAATACCGTCATGGCCGTGGCGATYGCGGGGAAACGGGCCTGTCACGTCCATAGCAATGGAGAGGCGTGGTGCCCGAGGAATCGGCAACGGTTTCAGTTCGCCGAAGGGGACTCGAGATCGACCCTTGTTTCGGTGGCAAACTGCACATGACTCAATGTACCTCGTGACGTCATGAAGGACGTCGGGCCAGTGAAATCGCTGGCGGATGCGTGCTAGTGTGCGGTTCACGCCAAGGTGTCCCGAAAGTCGTGCGTCGTGGAATTCGCCGAGAAGACGAGTCCGTAAGATGCGATCTTGGGGCACAACTAACAAGTCCTTTCCTCTCGTGTGAAGGAGAAGGAACCCGTCGGAAATCCGATAGTGGCTAGTCGGCGGGTGATCCCATGAAAGCTCCGCGTAAAGCTGAGAGTAAGTCGGATCGGACTTGTAGCCTTTGAGAAAGGAGTAGTAGTAGTGGGAGCAGGCCGAAGAAGAAGGGGCTTATGATACTTACTTGGAGCGTGCTGCGTGACGAGGGGCGACATCGAAGGTTCTTCAACAAGAGAGAAGCACCTCTGCCCCCTGACCTATATGCATGCGTGTGTCCCCTACCTCTCTCTCTCCCTCTCCCTCTCTCTCTCTCTCCCTTTGAAGGTGACTGCCGCTGCTGGTCAGAAGTCGGATCTGGATCTGGACCACTACCAAGAGAGTCAGAGACTGGTTGTTAGAATCTGAGTGGTCCTGTAGAGTCTCGTCAGAGTCTGGTCGCGTCAGAAGTGGTCAGAGTGTTGCAGATAGAGTCTGCGATGCCTCTTCTACCCCCCCCCCCTCTTGATAAGTAGGATTGCGTAAGGTCACTGGAAGCTGGAAATCGATGTGTAGGGGCCCCGTGCCACGTCAGATTGCAAGCGCAGGACAATGCAAGTCCGCGGAAGAACATCTATAAGACTAACTAAAGGAGAAAGAAAAGTTTGATTGAAGTACTATTGCGCAACATCAGACCTGCATCCAAATAATAACCAAGGTTAGAAAGACATATACTAGGGGAATTAAGTGTAATCATAGGAGGAAGGGCAGTTAGCGAGATTCTGATCCAGTAAATAACCAGGCAGCAAAAGTCTGCACGCCAACAAGTTAAAAAAAAAAAAGAAGGAAAATTCGTTACTATCTCCTGCAGACGGTAAGAAGTTGTACAAAAAGTGTCTGAATATTGTTTTATTATTATTTTTCAGTTGCAGCACCTCAGAATTGGAAAAAAAATAAAAAAAATTGTGCATATCCCCATTGCCGCAAGTTAAGAGTAGTAGTTTCTGACTGGGATTTGGGAGGACCTGTGCCTCTCGAATGATGCTGAGGTCAGGGAACATCAAGTCGGGCCCCACACCCGAAGAACAGAAAGAGATTGATCGCCGGCAGGCAGAGAAAAAGAAAGAAAGGGAAGACAAGAAAAAATTGAAAGAAGAAGAATTGAAGAAAAAGTTGAAAGAAAAGATGGAAAGAGAATTAGAAGAAAAAATGAAAAGTATTCAAGACGAAGAAGAAGAAGAAGAGAAGAATGAAGGGGAGAGCTTGCAACGACGCCGACCCATTGGTCAGGCTGAGAGTAGTTGTACTGTTGAGGCACGCCTGCTGTTGGTTCCACCATTGGAATGGGCCAACCAGCACGGCTACTCCAGCGACCAACTTCAAGGATCGGAAGAGGAAAGAGACGTGTTCATAGCCAGGCTAGCAACTATTGCTGATAAAGCAGAAAGGGATTTATTGCTGGAGGAAAAGAGAAATGTATTGCATGCCAAACTGTTAGCAGCAAAGAGACAAGAATTAGAGGAGAAAAAGAGGTTGCAGGCAGAGGGTGAAAAGTTGCAAAAGGAGTTAGAAGCGCAGAAAGGAAAGGAAACTGCGGCAGACGAACAACTTACCCTTCTCAGAGAATCTCTCCTCCTGACAAGAAAGGAGATGGCAGCAATGAATCGGACACCGCAGAAGGTGGAAACTCATCAAGTAGAGTTTGAAAGTGTTTGGAATACATTTCTGCACAAGTCAGCGCAAGATGTGGATAAGCATATCCAGTCTTATATCGTAAAACTAGATGAGCACATTACTAATACCTTCACACCGGAAGTAATTGAAAAGATAGTGAAAAGAGCCGGGGGTGGAGGAGGGGACGACGACGATGATGGAGACGACGGCGATAAGAAGAAGAAAGGGGTGCAACATGAAGAAGGTGATGCGGGGAAGATAAATAAGATAAAGCTTAAACTGCCATGGACTTATAATGGTAAGAAAGAAAAAAGTGTTTTTCACTGGATTGCGGCAATTGAATCCTATTGTTATGGACGACGAGTTCCATTTTGGGATAGAGTGCTTATGGCCAGTTCATGCATGGCGGGAGACGCAATGAGTTTTGCGATTTCTTTGCAAAAGGAAGCGGGATGTGAGTCATTAGTAGAATATTCTCAGAAAACTCGCCTTGAAGACTTCCTCAAAGCCGTCAGAGAACGGTTCGAGGACAAGAACTTGGCCCGTCGAACCGAAATGTTAGTGTTAAATCTACCTGAAAGGAAGTGGAAAAGCACTTCAGCACTCAAGTCCACTATGGATGAACTGCTGCAGCAAAGCACTGAGCATGGCTTAACCCCCGCACAAATTCTGAATAGCTTTGCACGTGCACTCCCCGATCATATTCGCTCCCAACTATATCCCCGGACAAAGGAAGAAGGAATGACCTACGAGAAGTTCAGCAAGATCGCATTGGATCATGCTGGCTTCTTGACCGAGGCTAACTACTGCCACTATTGGAAAGATTTGCAAGCAGGACGAAAGTGGCAAAAACGTACTATCGCAGGGTCCATACCTGGGAAGGACAGCCTCCTCCTGACCTTTGAGGGAGGAGGCGCGGAAAACATCCCTTGGGACCAAGTGGATTACGGTCTTGAGGAATTCAACGAACCGGTAGCTCAGGAGGGGAGCTACGCGGCCGTTGCAGCCCGCGGGGGAGGGCGACAAGGTAGAGGGGGCGGCCGAGGAAGAGGAGGTCGTGGCAGTGGTGGAAGAGGCCCAGGCACCCAGAGGGGTCAGCGAAGGTAGCCACTACGTGGGAGGAAGGGGAAACGATCCCTCACAAGGTGGTCGTGGTGCTTATTTCACCTGGGGTAGAGGAAGAGGCACTTGGTATAATAAATGGGATAAACCTTACCCGCCTCATCCAGGTCTTCCTGAGGGTGAACCCTGGAAGAAACTGGGAATAACAGAAAAAGTTTGGCAAGAAAGAAAAGTTGCCGACCAATGCTTTAAATGTGGGGACCCCGACCACATTGTCCCTTATTGCCCTGACTATAGGGGAGCAAAAGGGAACAACCAGTAGAGGTTCCAGTTGCCTCTACCGGGCTTCGAGTGTTGAAAAATCAGAATCCTCTCACTTGAATCTCCACTGGCAGAGACTGAAGAGGAAGACACTCCCCATCTAGTGCAGTGTCCAGAGGTGGCAAGCGTATGCATCTCTCTAGATGGATCCCTCGCTGGCGTGGGTGATGAGTTGGCCGCTTCGCCAAGCCTGGACTGAAATGAAGAAAAAGAAAGGACAGTTAATCCTTGCAGATCTCGAAATAAATAAGGGAAGAGTAGGTGGAATGATAGACAGCGGGTCTACACGCAGTTATATTAGTAAGAAGGGTTTACAGAAACTGCGTCTTGGGCTTAAGGTTAAGAAATTGAATGAGCCCATCGTAAGTAAGTTAGCTAATAGTAGTGAAACTGTCATGGATCCGTACGTCGAGGGGGTTCAAGCATACTTTCGGCTCGAGGCATAGGGGAAGGTGGAACGTGTTCTCCACTCTCTGACCTTCTTGGTGGAAGATAGCTTGCCCTTTGATGTATTGTTAGGCATGGATTGGGGGGAGGCTGCGAATGCAGATCTAAAGCTAGGGGACCATGAATGTTGGCTCCCAAGTCCGCAAGGAGGCAAAGAGAAAATTCGTCTCTATCATGAGTCAGGAAAGGAAAGCAGCCTAGCTCATTGTTGCATGAGTGCCCCAGCATTCGCTCGCCATGTGAAAAGATATATCTTGCGTTATCAAGTCTTTGTTGCATATGTGCGCCCACTAAAGGAGGGTGAAAGTAAGGAAGAGGTCATGTCCCAAGAAATTGAAAAAATCCTGAAAGAATTCGCAGATGTGGCAGAAGCCCCAAGCTGTGTAGTGGAAAGACCTATTAAGCATCACATTGACATTAGTCCAGGGAATTCACCTCCCAAGGGGCCAATCTATCGAATGTCACCCAAAGAACTGGACGAACTGCGAACCCAGCTCGATGAGCTACTGAAGAATGGATGGATAAGACCTAGTTCCTCGCCCTATGGTGCGCCTGTGCTCTTCGTACCTAAGAAAGATGGCGGCGTTCGCATGTGCATAGATTATAGAAGATTGAATGATAACAGTGAAAAATGCCGAGCCGTTGCCGCGAATAGATGATTTACTAGATCGTGTGCAGGGATGCAAGATATTTTCGAAGATTGATTTGAAATTCGGCTACCATCAGATTGAGGTAGAATCGGAGGACCAAGATAAGACTGCCTTCAGGACAAGGTGTGGGCACTATGAGTTCATAGTCTTGCCCTTTGGTCTAACAAATGCCCCTGCCACTTTCCAAAGAAGGATGAATGAACTGTTTCGTGAGTGGCTTGATAAATTTGTCGTAATATATTTGGATGATATTTTGATTTTTAGCAAAAATGAGAAAGAACACGTTGAGCACCTTCGACTTGTGCTAAATAAATTACGTGAAGCGAATCTTAAGTTGAACCCAAAGAAGTGTGAGTGGGCCAAACGTCAGGTCTTATATTTGGGTCATGTAATTGATGGAGACGGAGTCAAACCGGAAGATGGCAAAAATTGCAGCCCTCAGAGATTGGCCGAACCCCCGCACTTTGACTGAGTTGCGGTCGTTCCTTGGGTTAGCCAACTATTATCGGAAGTTCGTTAAATACTTCACGATAATAGCTGCACCCCTTCGCAGATGCTCAAGAAAGAAACAATCTGGAAGTGGGATTCAAGCTGCACATGTTTAATTAATTACCCGGCATTGGAAGTTGTCGATCCTTCATTACCTTTTGTTGTGACTACTGACGCTGGTCAATGTGGCATAGGTGCTGTACTCCAGCAAAATGATGGGCATGGGTACAGACCTGTGGTATTTATGTCTTGTCGATTACCTAATGAGAAGGTCGCCGCTTCCACCTATGAGAGAGAGCTATACGCGCTTCTGGAAGCTTTGAATCATTGGCGACACTATCTTTTAGGAAGGCATTTTAAAGTTTACTCCGACCATGAAACACTTCACTGGCTCGAAACACAGGCCCGGATGACACCTAAGTTGACTAGGTGGGCCGCTGAAATCGATCTCTACGATTTTGAGCTAAAGCCAGTTAAAGGTAAGTACAATGTCGTTGCTGATGTGTTAAGTCGCAGGTCTGACTTTTTCGGTGCCATTGTAACATATTTAGATGTTGGTGCCGATATCCAAGAAAGGATTAGGAATGCGTATCCCTCTGATCCTGTCTATGGCGCAATCATTAAGCGTGTGCAAGAAGCGCCAACAGAGTTTCCTAATCACAAGATTACTCAGGGCCTATTGTTTGAAAGGACTGATGTACATGATAGGCTATGCATACCGAATGTGGAAGAAGAGATCAAGAGTGTGATCTTAGGGGAATGCCATGATACCAAAGGCCATTTCGGGTGGAAGAAGACCTATGGGAATCTCTTACGTTCCTACACCTGGCCTCGTATGAAGCCTGATTGCATTGCTTATGTGCAAGGTTGCCAATTGTGCCAACGAAACAAGAGCACTACGCAATCTCCCCTTGGTTTGCTTAAGCCTTTGCCTATTCTGACAGGACCCGGAGACTCTGTGTCTATAGACTTCATGGACACTAAGGTAAAAAGCAGGAATGGGAAAACGCAAGTGATGGTAATCGTTGATAGATTTACTAAGTATGGTGTCTTTGTAGCTTTACCTTCGGAGGCAAGAACTGAGTTGGTAATTCGGGAGTTCTTTAACCACTGGGTGAAAGACTTTGGACATCCCTTGACTATTGTGAGCGACAGAGATACGAGGTTCACGAGTGAACAATGACAGCAACTAATGGATGTCTGCGGCTCTAAGTTGACTATGTCATCAGGTAGACATCCTGAGACTAACGGCCAGACTGAGCAAATGAACAAGATCTTACAGCAGACATTGCGCATGTATATTCGTCCTGACCAGATTGACTGGGACGAACATTTGCCTAAAGTTGCTAGTTTTTATAATAACTCTGTACGCTTGTCTACATGTAAGTCTCCTATGGAGTTACATTTGGGATGGCGACCACGTAGACCAATTGATCTTCTGAACCCAGATCAAGTGCATAAGCTTCCACCAGGGACGAGTGAATTCGCGATTCAATATCAGAAAGACATTGAGAAGGTAAAAGAGAATATAATCAAAGTCCAACATCAAATGATTGAACAGGCGAATAAGCACAGACGACCCTCTCAATTTGTTGTAGAAGATTTGGTTAGGTGAAGTCCAAGGAGTTTGCTCCTGAAGAAAACATTTCTCAAAAACTTCTACCCGCCTACAGAGGATTTTGGCAGGTCTTAGATGTGATTGGAGATGTCGATGGTCCCTCGTATGTCATTGCGATTCCTTTGCATCTACATACTTATCCACTGTTCCACGCATCAAAGCTCTTACCTTGTGTACCACCAAGTATGGATGGAAAATATGACGTGGACAAGATTGTTGCAGAAAGTACCTTTCACACTGGTCGTAGAGGCCGACCACAACGTCAATATAAGGTCAGATTTGCATACTAGGATCCCAGTGAAGATCGCTGGTTTACAAGAGAAGAATTATTAGATTCTGCGCCTCATATTGTGTCTGCGTATGAAAGGGCAAAGAAGGGAATCAGTATTATTGATAGATAAATGATTTCTCAGAGGACTTCGAAACTAGGCCGGTGAGAGTAAAAGGGCCTTTACCCGATTCATGCCTTGTAAAAGTAAAGCAGCGTGAAGGGGTATCTGGCCAGGACCCAGGAAACAGATCAAAGGTCAAGTTCTCTGGTCAAAGGGCACATCTAACCTAAAGCAAGAAGTCAGTGCCAAAGGTCATTACCGAAGGTCACACCTGTTCGCCAGGGGATGCACATGTCATGTCTGTTCACATAGGGATGTGTTTGTACGTGCAGTCAGTGTGTCTGTTCGTGCAGAAAGAGAGTGTCTATTCACACAATATAGATGTCTGTTCAGGTAGTAAGTGTGTCTGTTCGTCCAAAGTTGTGCCTGTTCAAAGGTAAGTCAATAAACAGTCCCGATTCTGGTCTAAGTCTGAGAGACTGTCCAGATCCAGACGTCCAAGTCCAAAATCCAGGCCGAAGGGCCTCAGCAGCAGTAGACCTCATTGGGATCGTACTGGGACACATGCAATGCAGGGTCTGGGACAGAGGAAGGTCTGAACGAGTCAATGCAGACCCAGCACAAGGAGGCCAGCACTATAAAGAAGCAGCCAGCCTCACTTGACGCAGATCTCTACTGGCCTTCTACGCGTGGAAGTGCTGAAGCACTTGTGCGCCAACCAGGAGGAGCAGCGCTGGAGGATGAAGAAGCGCTAGATGAGAGAAGTAGACTGGGCGCTGGGAAGAGAAGCAGCCATAGCTGCCCAGCGAGTTAGTAGCAGGGTAGAGAGTTAGTAAGTAGTCAGTCTTCTATGAGTAGCATTCAGAGTAGATCCTTGAGAGATAAGAGATTGTACATGCATAGTAGAAGGGAGGAACCGAAACGGGGAGTGCTCAAGAAAGATTCGGCAATGGTGGCTACTTATCTGAGGTGGATGTGATCTGCTGAGGTGGCGCTGATGTGTAGAAGCCACATTGATGTGTTGGATGAGGGATTTGTACTGCGCTGATGAACGCTTGGACTCAGGAAACTGTGACACTCTTTGTAATCATATTTTTGATAATATAAGCTGCGCAATTCGGTTCTCTTCTTACTTCCTCTTTGTTAAGTGTGTGGAGACTTCTGCTCAATATGGTTGATGACAATGCATGCTGTGTGAACACTCTTGCGTGATCTGGTCCCCTAGGACCCATGCACGCGCTAAAATTCGAAATCTTTTTATTATATGAAATTGCAAACGGAGTTGAAATTCGGAAAGCCCGATTTGAGATTCATAGCATTCTCCGTTTTTTTTTCCCAAATCTCAAATTTTTGCAACTTCGTAATTTTTTTTTCTTCTTTCCTCTTTTACTACCCGTATGTCACTGTGGCTCCTATCTGCAAATTGACATTGCAGGAGAGACACTACACCAACCCACATTCCTAAATAAAAACAAACAAATGTTTTTGCACTTTGGGGGGTGGGCATTGTTTCTTGATTAGTGTCTCACCTGCCTTAGAGCGGGGAACTGCAGTCTGGGTTCATTGTTTTGCCTGCCTAACTTTCCCTTCTCTTCCTACCTTCGTCTTGCTCTCAATGGCTTGGTAAGTGCCACGTTAGCATGAGTGTCACATCAGCAGAGTTCCATGTCAGCAACACTGCCACACCAGCACCAAGCCTGAGGCCAGGCTATGCTCCGTCATAGCGCGCACATTGTGGTGGCACGACAGGGCTCTTCATCTCCCACACCTGCCGCTGCGGTCCGTCAGCGATACCGTCAGACTTTTGACCCGTGCCCGCAGCCAGCAAAAGCAGGTATGGCAGCGGGAGCAGCAGCCGTGAGCCCTCCTGGGAGCACAGAAGCTGAAGGTGCCCCCGGTCTGGGTTGCCCGGTCTGCAAGGCTAGGGGCCCAACGAGACTGTCGAGGCCTTCCAGCTTCAAATGGCCAACTTCATGACCTTCATCATCGAGGAAAAGAATCGCCACCACGAAGCTGAGGTCGCTCACATCTGTGCAGCCGTACAGGCAGCAGTGGAACAGCAACGACAACAGGCCGAGGCCGCAGATGCGATCAACCAACTGCGGTTGACCGCCTGCTCAACACTGCAGCAGCAAGAGGTGGTGAATGCCGCAACGCTCAGAAAATGGCACTTTACACCGTTGGAAAGCAACAACAACCCGACAGAAGCCAACAACACCAAGGAGGAGATCTCCATGATGATTGGACAGCTCATTGCAACGTGCAATTGGCAGCAACAGCAGCTGCGCTTGGCGCAGGTGATTGACAACGACCAGGACCAGCAAGATGGCACCAAGCACGGCTTTCATACCCGCATCGAGGACTTGGAGAACAGGGGCGTCGTCACACTTGTCAAAGGACCTAGTACAAGCCAGCCATCGACACGACAACTGGGGCAGCGGATCGACCATGTCATAGCCACGATCGGGGACCTTGGCACGGTCGCGAGACCAGCTACAATCGGCCAGCAGCTGACTGCGCTGAAGTGCGACGTAGGCACACTGCAGCAGCAACCAGCCAGCAGCAGCACCCTGCATCCGTACAAGATGCTGACCTTCCGCATCGAAAAGTTCAACGACTACACCAAGACAAACCTGTTTGCGTGGTGGCAAGGTATTACCATGGAGTTGGGATTCCGTGAGGCCCCCGAACACCTCAAGATCGGCACACTGTACCTCAACACTACGGGTGCATGCCAAACCTGGCTCAACCACCTCGCAGTGAAGGAGGAGGTCAATATGGACCGGTTGCACACGAAGTTGGACTGGTACACCGTTGAAGCCTTGTGGAAAGCACGATTCATCGAGCAAGAAACGACAACAAAGGGAGTCAACCAAGTGTTCCAATGTTCCAAGGAAGTCAACCAATGCGCGAGTGATTGACCGATGGCAAAAGGTAGTTGCCATCCCGGATTTGAACCTACCGTTCAAACAGATCCGACACAAATTCTTCAAGATCTTGGTCAACCAACGCGCGAGTGATTGACCGATGGCAAAAGATAGTTGCCATCCCGGACTTGAACCTACCGTTCAAACACATCAGGCGTGGATTCTTCAAGATATCGGTCGACTCCTTGACACAAGCACTTGGACTCGTGGAGGACTATGACGATTTTGACCTGATCGTAACTCAAGCTTGCTCCATCATCCAAACCAGTCGGCGTGCCGCTAACGGAAGGCAAGGGCAGCCGAACTTTGTGGAGAGAGGAAAAGGGCAACGGGTGCAGCCTATTGCTGCAGTCCAATCAAGTGCACCTAATGAAGACCCGACATCGACTTCAACGTCAAGTGAAGGAAACCAAGTCAATGCCCTTCCGCCACGACACAACAACTCAAGAAGGAACAAGGCGAAATCAGCCAACGACGGAAGTTGGACAGCCGAACAAGCCATGGGTCAAGTTCAACCTCACGGAGGATCAATTCAAACTTTGGCAAAAGTGGGGATGTTGTTTTTGGTGCAACAGCACTAAGCACCCCCCTCTCCCAATACCCCGACTTTGGGCAAGGAGGATGTTCGGCCCAAGCCAAGCTCGGGAAACTGAGCTCCGCGGGAAGTGAGGCGACTCCACTTCCCATTTCATTGGACATGGTTGCCTTGCAGTCTGGAGAGCATGCAGATGTCGCAAGTTTGCGTACCTCGTACGATGACTACTCTGTCCAGCTGGTCCCTCTGTTGGACCTGTCTCTCCACGTGCAAGACTCGTGCGCATCTACAGTTTCAACACGGTCGGCAAGCGGTCTGACCCCTTCGCCGTCGTTATCATTCAGGGATTCATCGGTTTGGTCGAGACTTGAGGACCTCGACCTGTTGACTACGGAAGACTTCCAATGGTTGCCTCTTCTCCCGCACGGTTCCTTGCCGAAAACGAATTGCAATGCTGCAGTATCAGCTCCGTTGACGAAAAACGGAGTAGCGGTTGTTGACCTTCGTGAGTACCTTGAGAAGATTGACCATGAGTACTCCACGCAACGGTACAACGACATTGGCACACCGTTACTTTACATCTGGATTGAGATTGGGAAGGCAACCTGCATTGCCTTGATCGATTGTGGAGATACTCGCAACTACATCAGCCAAGACTACATGGCGTGCGCTGGCCTCCGGCCGTGCGTTCGAAGGAAGTTGCAGCCCACACAAGTCACATTGGCCGACGGTCACATGCACAAGTCCATTGACCGGTACATTGACGAGGTGCCCGTGTACTTTGCCCCGCACGCATGCGAGGCCGTGTCCTTCGACATCTTGGACACCAAGTTCGACATGATCTTGGGCATGCCGTGGCCGCAAAGTGAGGACCACCTGACGAACTTCTATCATCGCACCGTTCACGTGCGCGATCGGAACGACATGTTAGTGCCATGTATCGTCCACCTCAACCTTCGATTGGTTGTCATGTGGTTTCCGCCGCGAGCATTTGGAACTCCATCGCACGACTAGAACTCCATCGCACGACTCGACGTTGAAGAAATTGGTCCTTGATTATTGCACGCCCTCCCTCCTCCTGACGTGCCGACGATGAAACAGCCACCGGATCCACGAATTGTAGAGCTTCTTGACTCCTTCGGTGACTTCTTCGAAGCCCCCGCTAGAATCGTTTCGGATCGGCCTATTCGTCACGAGATCGTCCTCGAGGACAGGGCTGTACCGCCGCGCGGTTGTGTCTACCGCATGAGCAACTTGAGGTACTTTGTATGTAACTCGACGACTTCATTGCCAAGGGTTGGATTCGCCCTAGCTGCTCGCCCTACAGTGGCACGTTCTCTTCGTTCGAAAGAAAAACAAGGACTTGCGGTTGTGCATGGACTACCGCAAGCTTAACGTGCAAACCATTAAGAATGCAGGCCCACTCCCACGCATCGACGATCTTTTAGAGGGCTTGGACGACGTTACGTACTTCTCAAAGTTGGATCTCAAATTGGGATATCACCAAATCGAGATCCATCCGCGAGATCGATACAAAACATCGTTCAAGATGCGGTATGGGCACTTCGAGTGGGTCGTAATGCCATTCGGCCTCACGAATGCCACAACTGCTTTCCAAGTGTGCTCATTTACCTTGACGACATCTTGGTTTATAGCCGAACCTTGGACGAGCAACTCACACATCTACGTGCTGTTTTGGAGAGGCTACGCATGGCCAAGTACAAGGCCAATCGGGCCACTTTGTGACGCCACAAGGGATCCGTTAGCTTGCGGACAAAATTTCGACCATCCAAGATTGGTCAGAACCCACCAACACCACGAAGGTTCGCTCGTTCATGGGATTGGTCGGGTACTATCAACGCTTCATTGATGGATATGAGCGGATCGACGCACCTTTGTCGCAACTTGAGTCCCCGAAAGTGTCCTTCCACTTAACCGACGAAGTATGGAGTGCGTTCCACGAGCCAAATACGACGGTGCTTCTGGTTCCCGTTTTGAGCATTGACGATTTGACTTTGCCAACGAGAGTGATTATGGACGCTTCCGGCTACGACATTGGCGCAGTCTTGGAGCAACACGACGACGAAGATTGGCATCCTGTTGAATACTTCAGCCAAAAAGTGCCCCCCATCAACTCGCTTGATGATGCGAGGAAGGAGTTGTTGGCCTTCGTCATGGTCTTCAAACGGTGGCAACACTTCCTCCTCGGGCGCCGTAGGTTCACTTGGGTGACCGACAATAACCCATTGACCTATTACAAGAGACAAGACATGGTGAGCATCACGATCGGGATATGGATGTACTTCATCGACCAGTTCGACTTCACAACGAAGCACGTCTTGGGTCTTTCCAATTGAGCGACGAATGTTGTTTCACAAAGAGCTGATCTTTGCGCATTGACACACCATGCCTTCGACTTCGACAAAGACCTACATCAAGATTTCGTACGAGCATACACGTCTATGCTACCCTCTACGAGGAACTTTCTTTGCATCAACGATGGGTACTTGCTTCTTCGTTCGCGAGGCAAGGACTTGCTATGCTTCCCACGTGACGTGGAGTATGGACTCGCCTCCTTGGTGAGTACTACAGCTTGCAGCTCATCGGACGCCTTGGAGTCAACCGGATGGTCACTTGACTTCGCCAACGATTCGGATGGTACGACGTCATCACCGACGACACACGGTATTGCGAGTCTTGCGAGGTTTATCGAAGCAACAAGCCCCGCAACTGCAACCCTTGGCGAGTTGCGCGTGTTGCCTATTCCTCGGGAACCTGGATTGTATATTGCCATGGACGTCACCGGTCCATTCCCACGAGATTGCCTCTGGCATGACGGTGTCCTCACTGTCTTTGACTAGTCAAGTAAGTACGCCTGGTTTCTTCTTTGCAAGTATCGTGTGACGGCCCTCGAGCTCGCAAGACTCCTGCACACAGGTTGGATTTGCGACCATAGCGTTCCGGAAGACATTGTTAGCGATTGCGACACTCGATTCATGTTGGCATATTGGACCTCCCTCATGAAGGAATCCGACACCGAGATGAAACCGAGTTCGGCTCGACACCCCCAAACGGATGGGAAAACAGAGAGGGCATATCAAACCAAGGTTGTCACCTAGGGTTTTCACTCCAGGAGCCCCGCGGCGGGGATCCCTGACCCCCTCCCCTGCCAATCGACCCCGGCTCCTGCCTCGACCTCGGCACCCCTGACCCCGCCCTTGCCCCCACCACCCTCGCCATCCCTGCTGCCCCC